TGGGTGTGTTTGCAGTGGCCGTTCCCTCCAGGGCTCCAGCCCCCTATGATGCCACCTGGCCTGTCCTCCCGCGCTGCAGGTTTCTCACACTCGGCCTTCACTTTTGGAATCGAGAGCCACATCAGCCAGTCCAACATCAACGGGACACTTGTGCCGCCTGCCGCACTCATCTCCATCCTGCAGAAGGGGCTACAGTATGTGGAGGCCGAGATCAGCATCAACGAGGTATACCCGCCAGGGGCCCGGGCCCTCCCCAATGACCCTGATCCGCCTGCCCCCGCCACATGGTGCACGCACGCCATTTTGATGGCACTGTGGTTGCAAAACGTCTACTGGGGACGTGGGAGTGGGGGTGGGGTGGGGTGGCGGTCTGGACATGCTGCGGAGGCAGGCCCTGCGGTTGCCTCTGCACCTCCCTCCCTGCCCCTGTGCCTCTTGTGGCCGTGGAGGGGTAGGGATGCTCCGTGGGTAGCAGGGCCCTAGGGTGTGGGGGACAGCGAAGTGGGTGCATGGTGGGAGGGGACAGTGTGTGTGTGTGTGTGTGTGTGTGTGTACGTGTACCCGTAAGCGTGCAAGCGCTCGCGCACCGCTTCTGGCCTGCCTGCGTGGGTGGTTGCTGAGGGTGAGCCGTCTCCCTCCAGGATGGCACTGTGTTCGATGGGCGGCCCATCGAGTCACTGTCGCTGATCGACGCGGTGATGCCAGACGTGGTGCAGACACGGCAGCAGGCCTTCCGAGAGAAGCTGGCACAGCAGCAGCAAGTGGCAGCGGCGGCGGCGGCTGCCACAGCTCCCCCTACAACCGTTTCCCAGCAAAACACAGCCAAAAATGGCGAGTCCGCAGTGAACGGCGAGGAGAGTGGGGCGCAAGCCATTAGTAAGTCAGTGCGAGCGCACATGCCCTAGCTGCAGGTGGCCTTAGGCTGCGTTTGGCATCCTTGTCCATGTCTTCCTGCCTCTACGGCCCTGCCTGTGCCCTGCTTCCAGTGTATGCATGCTCTATGATCACAGCCGTCACCCTTTACCGTCAATTCAAAACCTAGCGATGGGTAGGTAGCCTCTGCTCATACAGCCTCAGAGTCAGGCACGCCTGTGAATAACCTGAGCATCTTCAACAACCAAGTCTGGACTTGGATGCAGTTGCTGGGGCCTGGTGCATTGATCTGACTCACAGCCATCTGTGGACAGAGAACTGTCCATGAGGGTTTCCAAGGTGGTCATCTTTACAGAAAGAGGCTCGCCGCTTCCTCTCCCAGGAGTAGCTGATGGGCTAGAACCACCTTGTTAGCACCTCTGTTAGCCAAGCATTCAGCAGATGCCCGTCTGGTTAGCATAGCGGTGAGCATCTGGGCCCCTTAATCAAGCTGCCACCTCAAGGTGCTTCAGAGAGGATTACCATCCCGGGAACTGCCCGTGTCGGGGGGGGAGATTTCTCCCCAGTGGTGCCAGCTGAGACCCACTCACCCTCTGCTAGTCACAGGGCCGCCGTTTCACAGGCACCCAGGGGCACTTTGGAAGAAGAGCTGTGTGGCTCCCAAAACCAAATTCATTGCCTTGGTGTCATGCCTGACTCAGCGCCCCCTAGGACGGGGGTAGAACAGCCTGTGAGTTTCCGGGACTGGAACTTCTGGGAGTAGAAAGCCTCGTCTTTCTCCCGAGGAGTGGCTGCTGATTTCAAACTTCAAACCTTGCGGTTAGCAGCCCAACACATAGCTGCTGTGCCACCGGGGCTCCTTAGGGGTCCACAAGAGGGCTTCAAAAGTTTGAGGGAACATGGAATGAAAAGATAGTGGGATTTTTCCATGAACCTTTGGAAGCCCCCTGGGACTTGTGATAAAACCAGCCTTTGGGGCTCAGTTCTAAGCAGACACCACTGGGTGGACTGGAAGAATGTTCACCCCCACCCAGTCAAGTGACTGAGAAATCCCTCTCTGTCCACCTCACCCAGAGGCCTTGCCCAGAGGCCCTGCCCAGTCCTGCCCAGGGGAATCAGGAAGGACGTGCCCATTTGTCCATAGGCAAGGGCAGTGGCAAAGGCCTCGTTTAGCTCCTTAGGGTTGCATAAGAAGTTAAACTCATGGCCTAGTCTCTCTGTAATGTGCGAGCCACAAGTCTTCCCTTGCTTCTGCCGGCAGATAACCATTTGAAACCAATGGAGATCGACGGGGAAGTGGAGATCCCAGCCAGCAAGGCCACTGTGCTGCGAGGCCATGAGTCCGAGGTGTTCATCTGTGCCTGGAACCCCATCAGCGACCTCCTTGCATCCGGGTAAGGGCTTCAGGTCGGGTAAGGGCTCCAGGTGTCTGGCTGACTGTGCTTGCTGAGGGGCAGCTCCATGGAGCTCACACGCGCCTTGCTCAAGCTTGGTCTGAAACACCTTCGGGGCGCTGTGCCAGAAACAAGCTTGGTCTGAAACACCTTTGGGGCGCTGTGCCAGCACATCGGCTATCTCAGCCGCTGCAGCAGTGCGCTCAGTAGGGACCACTGTGAGGATGCACAGAGTTTGAACTGATTTGACGGTGCCTGGCAGCAGCAGCATGCTACGTCAGCTTTCAGGAGAGGACCGCAGGGCGGCGGGGTGGGCTGGGAGGTGGCTTTAAGGAACAGAAGTTTAATTTCCTGGTCCGGGAGGATAGAAGTCCACACTCAGGGTACCTGTTCTAGGGGACTGTAGTTCCTCACGTGGCTGGTGTCTATCTCGCCCGTCTGCGCATGACTTAACACAACAAAGAAACAAGATTCTCAAATGGAACTTGGGGTCAGGTGTTGATTTCCAATGCTCATTTTAGGGAGGGCACAGTCCTATCTATAGTGAGAGGGGATCTCATCAGCCAGGAGCAGGGAGATGTGTGAGGCGTGGTGACGCGTGTGAGGAGCAGGGTGGAGAGGCAGGGCTCACAGGGAGGGTACCCGTGGGTGAGCAGCCCAGCCAGCCCGCAATGCCTTGTTCCCTCGGCGACGCTGAGTGGCCTTGTGCTCTTGTCTTGTGCAGGTCCGGGGACTCCACGGCGAGGATCTGGAACCTCAATGAGAACAGCAGCGGGGGCTCCACCCAGCTGGTGCTGAGACACTGTATCCGGGAAGGGGGCCACGACGTGCCCAGTAACAAGGACGTCACCTCGCTGGACTGGAATGTAAGCTCCTTCCCCTGCCGGGTGGACGCTGGACCATCAGGCCCTCCACAAGCAGGCCCTCTGCCGCCAAGGGTCCTGGCGAGGATGCTCCCAGGCCGTACCCGTGGCGCTTAGCATATGCATCTGGAGGAGAGGCTCACGGAGAGCTGGCTGTGACACGGGCACTGGGTTCCCCCTCAGGCACTCCGCCCCTGAAAGTTTGCTTTCTGCTGAGCTCTGGTCTCCCTGCCGAGTGGTGGCACCATATGCCGGGCTTTTTCCTTGCTCTTTTGCCGGCTCCTCGCACCACGTCACCTGGTAGCCCGGGTTACGGCTGACTGATGCTCCCTGATGGAGCCCTGAGGCTCAGTGGTTAAGCACCTGGCAGGTTGGTGGCTGCAACCTCCTCAGGAGAAAGACCCAGGTCTGCTCCCGTGAAGGTGGGAGACCCCTTATGGCATTTCTCTGTGGGTTCACGGTGGCCCAGCTGCATGCAGCTGTGATACCCCAGTGTGTTGACAGTCAGCTCTGCCTGGGTGGACTCACAGGCCTTGAGGCTTTACCCGCCTCTTTGGCTGTTGGGTTGTGCTGCAGTGGGCATGGGCACAGGGTCCCTGGCTGTTGAGTCTTCCTGCAGTGGGTATGGGCGTAGGGTCCCTGGCTATCAAGTGTCCTGTAGTAGGCATGGGTGCAGGGTCCCTGGGTGTCAATTCATCCCACAGTGGGCATGGGCACCGGGTTCCTGGCTGTCGAGTCATCCTGCAGTGGGCACAGGTGCAGGGTCCCTGGCTGTCCAGTTATCCTGCTGTAGGCATGGGCGCAGGGTCCCTGGCTGTTGAGTTGTCCTGCAGTGAGCATGGGCGCAGGGTCTCTGGCTGTCCAGTTGTCCAGCAGTGGGTGTGGGTGCAGGGTCTTTGGCTGTCCAGTCATCCTGCAGTGGGCATGTGTGCAAGGTCCCTGGCTGTCTAATCGTGCTGCAGTGGGCACGGATGCAGGGTCCCTGGCTGTCCAGTTATCCTGCTGTGGGCATGGGCACGGAGTCCCTGGCTGTTGAGTCTTGTGCAGTGGGCATGGGTGCAGGATCCCTGGCTGTCCAGTTGTCCTGCAGTGGGCATGGGCGCAGGGTTCCTGGCTCTCCAGTCCTGTCTCTGAGGTTGACCATGTGGTTGGCATCGCTGACTCACACAGTAACTGACAGGTTTGGAGGCATAGCCCTACTGTCTCCCACCCCATGGTCAGCGTGGGTTTGTAGATGAGCCAGGCTGAGGGAGCAAGGTGCAGGGGCACCCTCTCCTGTCCTGGGGATGCTTTGCGTGACCCATGATACTTCAGCAGATATCCGTGGGGCACGGCCGTTGGTGCTCCACCTGGGTCATGTCCCCTGTGCTCTTGGTCATTTCTGCACGCCCTCCCCTCTACTCACCAGACCTGTGCCCCTCTGTGCATGCAAGCTCTTTCTGCAAATCTCGCCTGAGTTGGTAAGAGTCCAAAGTCAGTGACTTCCGCTGTAGGGTCTGCCTAGGGCACCGGTTATGGTGTGCTTGCTGGCACCTCCCTCATAGCCACAGGGAGTCTTGAGCCCCGGGAAGAGTCAGCCGGGCAGCAGAGCCTTCTGTGCCAGGCTCATGAGACCAGGACTCTCAGGAGAGTGGGGACTGGGAGCCACATGTAGTGGGGCACCCGCTGAGCAACGGTGGTCTCTCTCTGTCCTCCAGAGCGACGGCACGCTCCTGGCCACGGGTTCCTACGACGGCTTTGCCAGGATATGGACGGACGACGGTGAGTCCCATGGCCCTCCTGTGTGTGTCGGGGTGCTGGCTGCAATGCGGAAGCCGACGAGCCTGTCTTACCCCTTAACAGGCAACCTGGCCAGCACCTTAGGGCAACATAAAGGCCCCATCTTTGCCTTGAAGTGGAACAAGAAAGGGAACTACATTCTAAGTGCCGGCGTGGACAAAGTGAGTATTGCTGGGTGCAGCCTGTCCATGTCCCCTTCCTCTGCAGCAGCTCTGTGATGCCTGGGGGCCCCCCGACTTTCCGTCTCCCTTCAGAAACAGACACACGGCTTTGGGGTTCATCTGAGTCAGGGGAAATCACAGGAAAGTTCCCCAACAGAGCCTTTCCGGGCTTTCTGATTTTCCTGGGGGTGCCCTTCATCATGGGGGCAAGTGTCTCCACCACTCTTTTCCTGGCCATCCCCTGCCCTCACTGACCCAGTGTCCCCGTATGCAGCCTGCCACACCTGTGTATTAATAAAGTTTTATTGGCACACCACCTTACCCATTCTCGTGTAGCTGTGCGCTCAGGTCAGCGGCAGGCTGGCCGATAGAGAAGAACACGTATACCTTCGGGCCCTTTACAGAAGAGACTGGCTGTCCCTTGTTCTAGAGGACAGCCAGCTAAGCCAGCAGCTCCCCCAAGCAGCTCCTCTCTCTGAAGTCGGAGACCTTCTGCTCAGAAGCAGCCCCCTTTTCTGAAGCTGGAGACCCTCTGCTCAGAAGCAGCCTCCCTATCTGGAGCAGGAGACCCTCTGCTCAGACGTTCCAGCCGGTCCCGTGTGCAGACACAGCTGAGCTGCTGCGGTTGGTGTGCCAGGCATTGCCACGTCGCCGCAGGCAGGCATTCCAGGTCTCCCTCAGGTGTGAGGCACCCACAGCATGCCGCCCCACCCACGGTGGCCCCCGAGGAGCTGCTGGCTGGGAGACTGACCCACATGCTGTGCCCCGGTGGCAGCCAGCCCTGCCTTGAACAGCCCTGGAAAGGGGCCAGGGGAGGCTTGTCAGTTTCCCTAGGGACACAGGGCAGCTGTGGAGGGGAGGCAGGCAGAGCCTGAGACCCTGCCCCCCAGGCTGTATCCCTGGACTGCGATGCTGGCTGTGGTGCACGTGGTGGCTGCTGCCGTCGTCCCCCCGCTGCCCTTCCAGGCGGTGGGTTCTCTGATCCATCAGGGACAGGCACCTCTGGAAACCTGTTGATCTTGTGGGGGACATCCTTTCGGTGAGCCGCGGCAGGAGGCGGAGCTGTGCATTAACAAACAGTCCCCGCCCCACCGTCGGACAGACAGAACCATCTGCTGCAGCATGCCCGCCAGCCCACGAGGAGCCCTGGGGGCGGAGGGTTGGTTATGTGTCGGCTGCGACCTGCAGTCAGCAGTTCACGAGTCAGCAGCCTGCTCCAGGGGAGGAGAGCGGCCTCGTCCTCCCATGAAGAGGGACTATCTATCTGTAACCCGCAGCCGCAGCTCAGCCTGGGTGGGCCTCAAGTCAGTGTCCGTGTGTTTGGTCTTTGGGGCTTTTGTTCCTTTTAGCATAGAGTTTGTCTCCAGTTCTTAAAAACTCCCTACACGAAAGGAGGCCGAAATCTTTGATCTTCACCATCAAGGGCCTCAGGTCCTCCTCACCAGCCGTGTGTCACCTGCAGGTCACAGGTCGCTCACCAGACTTCGCTGTACGCTTCTTCACATAATCCTGATGGTTTGCTTGACCCGCAGATTGGATAAGTGTCGTGAAGAGGATACGACTGACGCACATATTCCTTGATTTCAAAGACCTGGACCGAAAGGGAGCCCCTGCTGGTGCAGAGACCTGAGCCCTTGCCTGGCCGAGAACTTGCTGGTCCCTGCCCACTCAGAGGCTCCTTGGGGGAAAGGGCTGGCAGTCAGCCTGGGAACAGCCTGCCACTGGGAACCCTGTGGGCCATGTTGCTGATCCATACTTGGGCTCCCCGTGAACCACACACTGCCCCGCCGTCACAGGGCTTTCTGGTGTCTAATTCTGTATTGATTAGAAACGTGAGAGGTCAAATGAGTTGAACAGTTACCTGTTTTGCTTGGGGTGTTTTCCGTGTTTTGATGGTACCTTTTTTAATGCTAGTGTAAAATTTAAAATGGCCCGTGCAGGTCCCCTTGTCCCTCTGTTGGACAGCACTGGCCGAGGAAGAAGAGAAGCGCACTGTTCCGTGTCTTGGGCTTGATCTCTTAGAGGGACAGCTTGGCAGGGAGAGTCACTAATGCTTGCTTTTGTTTCCGGAGCACAGACCACCATCATTTGGGACGCCCACACGGGAGAGGCCAAACAGCAGTTCCCTTTCCACTCAGGTGAGTACGCGTGGTCCTAGAGCCCTGTGACATCTCCTCTGGTGCCCATCAGATTGGTGGGCCCCAGCTGGCAAGGAGGGACTGGGGTCACAGGGAGTGCGGCTCCTCAGCCTTTCCAGATGTCACAGCCCCAGCCTCCCGCCTGCTGTGTGTGTGTG